CAGACAGCAGAAAATTCATCTCAAGACAAGCCAATAGTAAAAAGTATCACTTGGGTCTCCATAGACCTTGATGGCTTTGTTACTGAAAAATTGTGGCTGTATGTAGTACCACACAGTACACATCAGATCATACTTGGGAAGAAATGGTTAGAGGACCAGGATGCAGTAATTCATTCCAAAGAGCAGCGGTTGGAACTCAGGAAGAGCGGTGGTTCTGTTTACAGTGTTCGACGCTGGCGTCAAAAACTAAGGGGAATAAAGGAGCCTAAACGTGCTGCTGTTGAGGCATTATCTTTTCTGGAAAAGGGAGTTCCCGTCTGCAAAGCCTCCTTAGACGACATAAATAAGGCACTCCGTACGAAACATTGTCTCAAGATCTCTGATGCTCGAGACCGATTACCGGGCCCTGTGAAGAAGTTCGCGCGCCTCTTTTCTGACGATAGCGGCGCTAATGATCTACCGCCTACACGAGATCACCTTGACCATGCTATAAACCTCCGAAATGAGAATGGGAAGCCAGTCCATCCGCCTTGGGGCCCTCTTTACAGTATGTCAAGAGAGGAGCTTCTAGTGCTTCGCAAAACATTGACAGATCTTCTGGGTAAGGGATGGATCAGACCAAGTAGTTCGCCGGCGGCCTCGCCAGTACTTTTTGCTAGAAAGCCAAACGGAGGGCTACGATTTTGTGTGGATTATCGCGGGCTGAATGCAGTCACTCTTCCAGACAGGTATCCCCTTCCATTATTTAAAGAAACTTTGCGACAACTTTCAAAAGCTAGGTGGTTCACGAAACTAGATGTGAAGTCAGCTTTCCATCGTATCAGAATCAGAGAGGGAGATGAATGGATGACTGCCTTCAGATGTCGCCATGGTCTTTTTGAGTGGCTTGTTACACCATTTGGTCTTGCGAATGCACCTGCAACCTTCCAGCGTTATATTAATGAGCAACTACGAGGACACCTTGATGTTGATGCGACAGCATACATGGATGACGTTCTAGTATACACAAATGGTAGTGAGGCCGATCATTGGAGAACGGTTCAAAGTATCTTGGGAAAGCTAGAGAAGGCTGGTTTGTACTTGGACATTGATAAATGCAATTTTCTATGTCGAGAGGTGAAGTATCTAGGATACATTGTGAGAGCTGGAGACTCGGTGACCGTAGATCCTGACAAGGTCAAGAGCATCATAGAATGGAAGCCACCTACGTCGGTTAAAGGAGTTCGATCGTTTCTCGGCTTTGCAAATTTCTATCGATGCTTTGTTGATAGATTTTCGGAGGTAACTGCACCACTGACCAGATTGACGAAGAAGGATTCAATTTGGAGATGGGGACCTGAGGAGAACGAGGCGTTCGAACGACTAAAGCAAATTTTTTCAACTGAGCCGGTGCTAGCGCAATGGGATCCCGAGCGAGACACAGTGGTGGAAGCCGATTGTTCTGGGTATGCATTGGGTGGATGTTTGTCTCAAGCTGATAAGCAAGGCCGGCTGAGGCCGGTGGCTTACTACTCTAAGCGACTGAGCGGAGCGGAAGCAAATTATCCGATACACGACAAAGAGATGCTGGCCATAATCACGTGCCTGCAAGAGTGGAAAGCTGAACTGCGTTCTGTTGCAAAGCCATTCACGATTTTGAGCGACCACAAGAACTTAGACTATTTCATGACCAAGCGACTACTCAATGAACGGCAGGCCAGGTATTACGATGTATTACATCAGTTCAATTTCACTCTGAAATGGCGACCTGGCAATGCTTGCGAACGGCCGGATGCTCTCTCAAGACGCGATCAGGATCAGCCCCATGGCCTTCATGACGAACGAACCACGGGTAGAATTATGCAACTGTTACCAACTGTCAAAGCTTTACCTGTAGATGCACAACTCGGTACAGCAGACCCAGCAGCGACAGCGAGAATATCTGACGACGATGAGATTCAAACATTATGGAATCAAGGAGTCATTTACGATAATGATTGGCGACGAGCGCGAGATGCTGTCCAGCACGGAGAGAGAAGTTTCCCACCAAATATCGCTCAGAAATTAACCGCTAACATTGCAGAGTGTACGGTTGCCGCAGATAGCGTTCTTCGTGGAAGGGAAAATCGAATTTGGGTTCCCGATTATGAGCCACTCCGAACGGCGATAATGCAGCGGACACACGATAGCTACCTAGCAGGTCACCCGGGCAAAGATACAATGATTGGCATACTTTTAAGGCGATGGTTCTGGCCAAAGATGAGGGAATCGGTCCGTCGTTTTATACGGAATTGTGATGTCTGTGGTCGTACGACAGTATGGCGAGAGGCGAAGGCTGGGTTTCTTCGATCACTGCCAATTCCTGACCGAATAGGAAGCGAGCTGACAATTGATTTTATTACTGATATGCCACCTTCTCAAGATTGTACAAATATAATGGTTATAACAGATCGGCTATCTAAAGACGTTTTTCTATTTGGTACAAAGACAATGGAGGCTGCACCAAGCGCTAAAGTTTTTGTCGACCGATATTATCGTTACTTTGGCTTTCCACGTTATTTGACAAGTGATAGAGGCAGTGACTGGATGGGAACCTTTTGGCAAACTTTCTGCAAGCTAACAGGAATAACTCAACGCTTGACCACGGCGTACCATCCTCAGTCAAACGCAAGTGAAAGAGCAAATCAGGAATTGTACAAGTACCTGCGAGCGTTTACCTGCTACTCACAAGATAATTGGATGGAACTGTTGCCTGTAGCCCAACTGGCACTAAATTCAAGACCAAGTTCAGCGATTGGAGGACTAAGCCCATTCTTCTTACGGCACGGATACGATTTGGACCCTCTGGCAGAGCCTACGCCTATCTTAGAGAATGGTTCCCGACACCAGGGACGACTATCTGCTCAGGATTATGTTAAGAGGTTAAAGGACGCGCAAGACTATGCACAGGCAGCAATGGCTTCAGCTCAACAACGAAACGAGGGTAATGCAAATCGTTTCCGAAGACAACCAGATCAGTATAAAGTTGGCGACAAGGTTTGGTTGGATCTCCGAAACGTGAAAACACCACAGCTCTCCAAGAAGCTAGCCTGGATACATGCAAAGTACGATGTGACCGCGGTCCCAGATCCTTTGACTGTGGAGTTGAACGTTCCTGGAAACATCCACAACCGCTTTCATGTCGAATTGGTGAAGCGGGCGGGTGCGGATCCCTTTCCGAGTCAGCGGCGGGACGATGCACAAAATCCCGCTATCCTTGACGATCTGGGCGAGCAAGAATTTGGAGTGGACTCAATAATACGAGCGAGAACAGTGAGACGTGGCCGTGGTAGTTTCAGGCAAGCCCTAGTTAAGTGGACTGGCTGGGCAGAACCAACTTGGGAGCCCATTGAATACGTGGCAGACACCGAAGCTTTAAAAATATTTGAGGAGACCTATGGTCCCATAACTTCAAATGATGGCCCTTCGGAAATATACTCAGGTAGATACGTTGGCCAGGCCGAGCCTCATGTCCAGAAAACGCGGAGGGAACGACGAAAAAAAAAGCATTAAATAAGAAAATTAAATAAAATATTTACTCATTGAGGAAGAGAAGGGGGATTGTAACGGCTGTTAAGCCTAATTATCCCTGTAGCCTACGCTAGCTAGCGCAGGCAATGAGATCAATGGTGTAATCCAGAATCTTCTTGGAAGTTGTCGAAGAATCCAAACAATTCTGGTCATGGAGGTAATCCTATGGAAGGAGGAGTATTCTGGATTATATATATTTGTAGTCACTAGCTGTTAGAATTCTCTCTCTAGAGAATTATAATTAATATACTGTACCTACAAGATTGCCCATGCATTTTGTTATGAAACCGTGACAATTTATCGACTTTAAAACTTGTTGTCGACATTGTAGATGTATGTCTGTTATCACAGACATTGGAAATAATTCATGAGATTGCTTAATGAGTGGCTAGATTTGATTCCGATATAATATTGTAGAAGACTTGTCCCAACTATCAGAGGGCTACAACGTCTTTATCTATCTACAGGTAAATTCCCCATATTCCAATCACGCTAGCCATACAGGACGTAGCATGTAAAACTTGATTCGTATCATCAGTTTAGGATTGAGGTTTACCGTGCATATGCTACTCGAGTCGCATGTCTGACTACTATGCGACACGCTTAGGTATCAATCTAAAAACCCACACCAAAACCGAAACTACTCACAACCCTGATGATGACCCTATGAATAATTGTAACAGTAGCCTGCAACATAGCACAATTAGGCTAGACATCGTTGACCAGGACCTAATCCGAACATTTATATATATATAAATAAATAATCAATTCACTCTTCTCCGCTCTGCCTTCAGTGATCCTTTGTCTTCCAACAAAGGAGGCCAGAAAGGTTGCGAGACGCTCTTAGGTATGCACAGGTCTGCTGCGCCCTGCTGGACTGCCTCTTCGTCATACGAGAGCCCCGCACCCAGTGGTTTTTGAGACTTTTCCTTGCAGCCACACTCCCGAAAATGGCCATCGTTTCGTTAACTAGAGAGGGGAGATGGTGACGAGATAATGGCTCCTCTTAGTGTGTACTAGAATGAAGACCTGTGGGTTTATTACCGCTGGAAAGAAGTTGTGAAGGAGGCATAAATTCTCCCGGCTTGAAGGCAAATGGGGCCTACATGTTATTTCATAGTCATGGACTTAATAGGACAATAAACACATACATACATACCGAATTGGTTTCCTCCCTTGTAAATAATATAGCTTGATATACCTTCATGGGCCCATAGAATTTCCCGAACGGGCTAAATGAAATCAAATTTAAATACTAGTTGGGGTTTTCCACAATCTTCTAAGCCTGCAGGTTTAGATTTCTTCCTCGTCGCCATTGGTCACATGGTGTAATGGGAATCACTAATTAGCCCACTTGAACAAACAGCCAGGCCGCGAAAGTTTAGGCGGGGTAATCATCTCGTATACGTGTTGGATTTTATAAGCCAATTCTATTAAAACTGTTGTGAAGTATGGAGTGCGACACTGATACACGTCTGTAAAGTTAATCCTGTCAAAAATTTGGCCTGACTTTTGCTATAGCCCCCTATTGCACCGGAGATAAAAGCTCATTTGCCTACGTCTCCGCAAGAGACCGCTGGCCTATCATTCTTGTAGGAAGGTAGTTGCCTTAGAAGAACTAGTTACTAACAGTACAGACTGGAATCATTGACGACTTGCACAAGAGTATATCTCAAACTACACACGTACCGAAACGTGAGGAGGGTAAATTAATCGTCGCTGAAGTGGCTAAACTGAAGTATGAGTTGCAACACGATAGACCATTAATGTGAGTCCAAATTTTGCAGGAAAAGTATCTTAGGTTAATCTACCAAAGTCCTCTTTGCGAAGATGGACAGCATGATATCGCTGAATACAATGAGGAACTTGAAATAATGGGAAACCCATCTTGGTTCAATACACCTTGGCTATTTGCAGAATGCTACCTCTACAGGTAATGTTGCAAAAGGCTCCACGATCTTTAAGCTCACCGTGCCTAGACGTATCGCAACTTACTTTACCCTCTCAGAGCATTGGAAGGAATATGATGTGTTCGCCCAAAAGAAGATATCCACCTTTCATTCATCTCGTCCAGCTGTTCTGGAACTTGCCTTTCGTTATCGCGAAATAATTCTAAAAATAAGAGAAAATGCTATGGACTCTGAGGGAATAGTTTCTTCGGAAAGAATTTTATTCAATGAGATCTTTGAGTTATGCTTGTGGGGTAATGCTACTGATTTATCGCTGTTGACATCCTTAAACTACGATGAGATTCAGAAATTGCAAGGCCTCCAAGCAAGGAAGTGCTCTAAAAATAATATACTAATCAACGACCTTGAGTCAGTCTACGATTCCCTGGAAAAAAGGAGAAAAACACAAAGCCCCAATAGAAAGGTTGATATCGTTTTGGACAATGCAGGCTTTGAATTATATGTTGATCTTATTCTTGCTGGATTTCTTCTCGCCACGGGCCTAGCTACCAAGATAGTTATGCACGCCAAATCGATTCCATGGTTTGTTTCCGATGTTTTGCCAACAGATTTTTCGGGCCTCCTCAAGGCACTTGCTACTTCACAGGAGTTCTTTTCGGCGCTTTCAGAAGATGAGAAGGTTTTGGAGAAATGTCCGGAGCCATTATCTCAGGAGGAGGTCGAGGTACTTTTGTTCCTTTTTGAAGATTGGAACCATCTACACACCGACGGTAAAATAGAACTTTGCACAAATAGGTTTTGGACTCAAGGCGGCAGCTTTTGGCGCCTCCCATCCCAGAATCCACAACATCTATTCCACCAATTAAAAAAGAGTGAACTAGTTATATTTAAGGGTGACCTTAACTATCGTAAATTGACATGTGATGTGAGGATCCTAAGTCTCAGGCACTAAATTTTACTCACGAAAGTTACTAATTATCATAGGCCACGTGGGACCCTACGACACCATTTGCAGAAGCTCTTGGTCCGATGGGTCTAGGATCCGGAGTAAATGTACTCGCGCTCAGGACATGTAAGTCGGACGTGATTGTTGGGCTCAAGGCTGGCGAAGATGAAGAGTTGCGCAATACTGTCGAAGGCGGAGGGGATACAGGTGCGAGAAAGTGGGCCTGGACGGGCAAGTGGGCTGTTATTTCGTTTTCTCAGTCGAAACCGTGTGTAGCTTAGCTCATCAACTCTAAATCTGACCCAGAGCTATACGGTATGTTTGCATTTCCGATTTTGTTAGAATTATTGTCCTTTAAGTCTATGACTATGCAGCACTTACAGGTCTTCCCTGCTTAGAAACCAAGTGTATCTATTCCTTGAGTTTTATGCTCCATTTTCTTCCACTAGATAACTCTCATTCAAAGATATCACTTCTCAAAAGTATTCATTACATAATGCGCCCAGAGGCACACGTCGAACTTTAGTTTCTCCCCTACCCAAACAATGGAAAGAAGATCACTTGCCGCATATAAGAGCCAGAACACACAATGATCCGGTGAGAAACACAGGGTTCCAAGTTCTTCAAATACCAACAATGGGTCTAGTTATGAGGATATTACTACCATTTTGGAGCTTTCGTAGATGAGAGCCATCCGGGCGATAAAGTCTTGACAGATAGCGTGTAAAGTAACGTTGCCTACGGAAGACGAAGATTTAACACATATAAATCACGTCCTCTACGAACTTGAGAGTGAAATATTATCACCGAGCCAAGTTCAGTGCCGTACGACAGGGAGGGAGTTCTATGGTAAGGACGTGAGAGAGACGAGTACAAATCATTGGATATGCAGAGGATGGATACAATCTTCAAAGAGGTGAGATATTGAAAATTGGCCAGGAGCTTTAGAAATTGGTGAGCGGTGTGCGCCACAACTTTGATTCAATCAGTTCAAATGACGCTTGTTACCGTAGTGGCTAGATGGTGCAATGGTACACCACATGGTCTGATCTACCAAATAGATTGGATGGGTTTGACAACTGTCCCACTAAAGAAAAAAGTTTTCAGGATTCAACCCCGCGTACTTCTTGCAGCCTCAACCGCTGGACCCTCTTCGCTTTTGCAGCCTATACCGCCCTCATCTCTCATCACAATCCTCAATCAGAATTATCATAAATCTATCCACGATCAGATGAAGTAGTACGGTCGAAGCCTTTCTCATCACCAACCCTTAATATTAGAGAGAAAGGCATCGGATGAGTTTCTGGGGCGTACCTAGCACCCATTACAAAGATGGTGGATTGAATAAAGTCGGCCTCGACTGTTACAACGAAGGGAGATATAGATGAATATGCGCACATCGTGTGGTCCCGGTGTCTAGGTCTCGTCTGGCTGGGGCTAAAGCTGCAGGTTTTTTGAGACTTTTTCTCGCGAACGCAGTTTCTATTACTACCATTTTTATTACTCTTTTTTTGGGTAAAAGGTTCCGTGGAAAAGGTGGCCGAATTCCACGGGTAAACAATGAGCTGAATGGCTATTCATCATGGGCAATACATCAATGATCTTACAAGTAGCAAAAGAGGCAAGAAGCACTGTACAAGGTGTGGCCTGGGTTAGATGAGCCCATTGTGCTAAATAATTATGGGCTCAATTCGCACAATAAACACTCATGTTATGTACCTCCTGGCATGGACAAGAGCGTTCACTTTCACCCGGTAGACCATAAAGCCAAATAAATTATTAAGGAAATAATCAGCTCTCAATTATTAAGGCTGTAGAGCGCATTCATTCAAGTAACTACCGATGTCAAACTAAGTTCATAATTTACAGTCGCGTATGTAACAACAACGTGGCACAAAGAATTCGCCCAATTTTTCGTAACCCAAAGTGACGATATAGCATTCCATTTACGACACCTTACTGCTATTTACACTTCTCAATCACTCATGCCGCCCCAGTCCTCCGTAGGGGCTGGCTTCTGGCCACCTCTCCCCACCCAACACGCGACGCGCCAGGACGTCGAGATGGATCTCAACGATCCACAATACACACCACCGCCTGCACCACACAACATCACACCAGACTTAGTCTGCTGCGTGAGCCAACAGCGCTCTACAAACCTGAGCCCAAACCCCACGGCCGTCAACATGACCAACTTTCTCGCCGAACAAGCGAGGGCTTTCCAGGAACGTTTTGCGGAAGCAGAGCGCATTGTCAGCGGGTACTGAAACCTGCTCGAATCGACAATAGACGAAGAGTTCCGACAAGCCATCGAACTCACCGGTTTGGCTCTTCAAAGCCGGATTACAGAAATTCTGCGGGGCAATTCAGCCACAGCACCAGCTCAAGCTGCTAGTGGCCACATAATCAAACTTCGCCTCGAGACAGCTGTAGAGTCGAGGAAGAAGACTATTGCGAGCGTCGTGCGTCCTGTAAAGATCCTCGCCAGGGAAAACACGAGAATAGGAGCAGCCATACCACCGGCTGCTTTTGCAACACAAATCCCCACCCATGGGACAGAACAAACCACCAACCAGACTCCCGAGAGACCCTGGACAGAGGTGGTGCGTAAAAAGGCTAAGCCAGCAACCACAGCTGCCACAAAAACAACCACTGGCCACACGCCCACATCGAAACCCAAGGCATCAGCAGTGATGCAGGAAAAATCCGACGAGCGCGTATTCTTACGGCTCAAACCCGATCACCCGTGGAGACGCATGTCTCCACACTTCATAAAAATAAGCCTGGCTAGTAAACTATGCCTGGCTAACTCATCGATCAGACAAGTCACAGTCGTGAATTCTGGATTTGCCATACAAGCTGACGGGGAAGGAGTAAGAAGCGCGCTACTGACAGGAGCGAATACCCTAGACAGCTCTGAAATGAAGTTGGAAGCCGCGCCCAATTGGATATCAGTGCTTGCACCCAATATTCCAGACAGGCTATATACCCTCGAGGGACCAGTGCCAGTCACGCCAGAAATGGTGATCGAAGAAGCCACCCTCAAGACCGGCGTCAGACCAACATCTGCTCGCGCTTTTGCGACTAGCATGGCAAGGCCATCAACAGACTGGGTGCTACATTATGCGACAGGAAAACTAAAGCTTGGTGAACGACTATTTGAAGAAAGTGGTCGGCTGCACGAACTCCAGCGCAAGCCAAAATTTGCTCAATGCAACCGATGTTGGGGACACCACCCTACAAAGATCTGCTCGCGAGCAGAACGCTGTTCACGATGCGGCTCTGTCGAGCATAAGGCCACCGATTGCAAAAAGGCTATCCCGAGATGCATAAACTGCCATGGACCACATTCTACCGTCGAGCCTAACTGCATGGCAAGGCCGACGCGTGTTGGTGGCAAAACGGTACAGCGCACAAGAGACCAGCTGGCGGTAATTCGCGAACAAGGTCAAAAGGAACGGAACGCTTCGATCAGAGAGATGGAAGCAAAGCAGAAAGCCACCGAGGCTACTGCCGAAAACGAAAATTCAAACGTTGCTCAATGCCCGTAAGAGACCACAACCCAACCGAGCTTCAAAAAACGGCAACAACAATATTGTTCCTCTGTGCTAACTTGGGCAGAGGAGACCCCGCTACGTACATCATCCTGCAATCCGCTTGGGATTCAGGAACCGATGTCCTACTCATCCAGGAACCCTGGACCCAACGTAAGGACGGCCTCTGGCTCACCAAGTCGCATCCTGGATTCGATAGGCATTTGCCTCCCCATGCCGCTGCCAACTCTTCAAGGCCACGCTCCCTCATCTACACGCGAGAGGGGATCAACTGCCAACAGCAAGCAATCTGCGAAGCATCACCAGGTCTCACCGCAGTAACGGCAGAAGGAGTCACATTTGTATCCGTCTACCGCGCTCCTGGAGCAGACCTTTTGCCGCTGCTATCATGGGCTCCATCTGGGCCTACAGTTATTGGAGGAGACTTCAATGCTGTTCACACTGACTGGCAGCCAATGGCTACTAGGCTACACGGTGACGGCCAGGTGCTCACCGAGTGGATGTTCGAGCACAGCATGGACCTGTCTTCCACACCGGGCGTCCCGACACACGACTTTGGAAACACACTCGACCTGGTCTGGTCTAATGCTGGTGCTCTTGCAGATATTTCGATAGAGCTTGACTCGACATCGGATCACAGAACTCTTGCAGGAGATGTTCCCCGTCCAAACTCGAAAGCCAGAGCTGTAATCAAAACTGGTCATCCGGTACGAGTGACAGACGACGCCCTCGAAGACTTTGCCAAGGTGCTTGGTAGATGGGCTCATGGAATAGGGCTACAGCCAATGGATTCAGAAAGTGCGGTAGACAACCTTACAGATAAGCTGGTTCAAACCATTAGCGATGCAATCAGGGCTACTGGAAGACGCGGGAGTGCTAAGAAGGGTAGGACGGCACCTTGGTCGACGTTGGAGTGCTCACAAGCCAAACGCGAATACAGGATATTCAGGGACGAAGAGAGCAGAAAGGATTTCCGTCGCATAGTCAGAAGTGCGAAACGCCAATACTGGCGGCGGAAATTCTCCGAAGCCACAACTGGCATTGACATGTATCGGATGGCACGCTGGGCAAAGCCGCGACTTACATCCGCTGCTCCACCACTTTAAACTCTGCATAGTTTTGTCTCGGATCCAGGAAAGCGTGCACTTCTGTTGCGCGATCTTCTTCTCGGCCAGTTCACCAGCTAAAACGACGTGGACACCGAACACCTCGAGCCAGGGCGCGGTAACCTTCCATGGGTCTCAAGCGTCACTAATGAAGAAGCCAAGTGGGTCACAACAGTCTGCCAAAATAAAGCCCCTGGAGCAGATGCAAGTTCTGTTCGTCTTCTTAGGACAGCCTGGCAGTCAATTGGACAAGCAGTGAGAGTACTCTTTGAGGGCTCACTTCGAATGAACCAGTTCCCGAAGGCATTCAAGCTAGCGGAAGTAATTCTTCTCCCCAAACCTGGCCGTAATCTCAGTACAGCTAAAGGATGGAGGCCAATCGCACTACTATCCTCTCTAGGCAAAGGTCTTGAGAGACTAGTCGCAAGGCGAATGGCTTACTCCGCCATTCCTTACAAGGCCGTGCTGCAGCAGCTTTTTGGAACACTCTCCGGCAGATCAGCTAATGACCTCGTCTCATGCGTCATCCATGATGTGGAGCATGCAATGAAAAGGCAGAAGAAACCAGTCCTTGTCACTCTAGACTTACAGGGGGCATTCGTCGATGTACTGCACGGAAGG